TTCTAAAAATAGAATTATTGTCCCATATCATGGGGACAACCCCAATACTAGAAATGGCGCGCGCTTACGGTCTCCGTCCCCGATTATGGCTCCTGCTGCCAGTCAAGCCTTTTTCTTGCTATAATCAGAGATCTAACTCCTCCTCCTACCAGGGATTAAGGTTATCCGTCCACGTCGCGATAACTGCTCTTTAATCGTACTTACGAATTGTTATGATTAGTTTTATTGTTAACTTACTTCAACACGAAGGCGCGCTATAAAAGAGCATAAGCTCCTCCCCTTAATTTTGAATTCACTCAAAAATTGCTTGCTTCACGCTCTGACAGTATTCTACAATACCCACTGACATCGGACTTGACATAACAAAGACAGTTGAAGCCCGCTATTTCCAACTTGCAGGGTAAACGAAAAATTGTTCGAAATAGTGGGAGTTCCAAATAGCCGATAGGAAATAACTGAAGAGCAAAACCAAGGCAAATGGTTTTGAGTTCGAAATAACGGAAATTCGAAATAACCGAGTTCGAATTAGTCGGGTCCAACTGCAGAAGAATTATTCGCATAGACATTGCGAACAGTGGAACAATATCACTTTATAATCCTCTTGTAAACATGATTTCTTGAAATAGAGAGAAGTAGAGACACCAAAGACACTTTAATTTACTTACAGCTTACATTTCGTGTATTCAAATCACCTGCCATTTTGAATTTGACCCTCGCACGTCAACTGTGACTGACAAATGAGCCTTAGTCTTCCCAGGGAAGACTTCCTTATACAGCGCGCCTTCGTGTTTAAGTTGATAAACTAGTTTTTGGATCTTTTGGAGTTAAAAGTTAGTTGCTGTAAGTAACTTAGTAAACCTTCCTGTTCTATTTCTCTCGGATAAAGATCATAGCCAGTGATTTCAGTCCCAAGATAGTTCTGATGAAAACATAGCTTTTGATATGGAAAATATAACCCTTAGAATCTTTATTTCACAATTAAATCTAGTTACGTGTTGGTTATAAATATTAACCATTATATTAAATGTGAATATTAAAATCAATATTTACGAGCTGGTATATGTTCTTCCTACTCTAGTAAAATACTATAGTAGAGTCAGTATCGATTACAACAAGTTGACTGACAAATGCAAATCCTGGGCGAACTAATCAGTGGTAGCTTGTGTCTTTCCAGGCTGTTGGAGACCGTGTTATTGAAGAAAGAGAAGACGAATTATGCAGGTTGGTCAAAAGCATGTGTCATGTAAAATACAACTCGGCGTTGTTTATTAAACTTAAAATCAATCTGATGGTCTATTTTTTTTTTAATCCAACTTTACAGACATGCCTTTCAAGTATGGCACAAAAATCCAAACATTACTATTTTGGGGAACCACAGGGCTCGTCGTCTGCCGATATTTTCTATGCTAATTCATCATCAGGACAGCGGAAAGTTCTTACATCATAACTTTGTTTCTGTGCTGCTGAATGATCTCTATGGCATCCAGGCTCGAGGAGGATGCGCATGCGCAGGACCCTACGCACAGGTAACCGAAGTGCTTGCGTCAGTATCGTACCTCGTGACTTTCGTTCCTTACTACGCAAACTTGAACGAGCGATCCTCGAGAGTTCCGTTGTTAGATCGGTATTTTCGGACTTCCAATCGGAACTTTCCAGGGTCACTCACTTCACGATGGACTGCATGGTCAAGGGGAAGGAAGAGTCTGGGGACGAAAGTGTGATTGCATGGAATTGAAAAGTCCGCCATTATTCGTGGTCCTAGACCTCTTTGAGATAAGAGAACAGGCGCGTTCTTTAAACATGTAGTACTAATTCTATCTAGCGCAGCGGTTACTTGTCACACGAACAACGTGCTTGTTTTACCTGTTAGTTGTACTTGTTGTAGGAAATTACATTATATAACCATTTACTTAACTATTTCGCAGGATCTTCTGGGAATAAACGAGACCATAGCAAGGAAATTTACATGGTTTCTTGAATCTCACGAGAAGTAAGTTCAAGTGATATTAACTCTGTTTTTTTTTTTTTTTTTATTCATTTATTCATTTATCCATTTATTCATTTAAAGTGCAGCTAACCCCCCTATTTTTTTTTTTTTCGCTAAAACGAATCCACTTGTTATTCGAAGCATTTGGGCGAAAAAAGTTTTGAATTTGATTGAATCCTCGATTTCCTATGCCCTTTCAAAGTCGCGCTTGAAGTGTTACACGACCGTGTTTTAGGAAGTCTGGGGCGGTGGTTGCTGATGACGTCTACCCAGGAACCAAACACAATGCCGCCTCAGTTAGACTGTTCACAGTCCCCTATTTTTCCGTGAGATGGTAGATGTCGATCGTTGAGCTCGACGGTCCGCCATCTTGATCTCTTGATGCGAACGAAACTGGAGAGAGTACAAAATGCCCCGTGGGTAGGGGTGATGGAGGACGGAAAAAATAGGGAGACTGTAACAGCTTCACTCTGTCTCGTGTTCAAGGGGCGCGGCCGCCAGTTTGGCGCCTCCGTTAATCAAATCAATTAACAATCTCCTCTCCTGAGAAAAAACCTGTCAAATCAGGGGTGATGATCTGAATCCATGTTACTGTGTTGTGAATTTCGAAACATTTTGAAGGTTTACTAAGTTGCGTCGAATGAATGCGGGACGGAAGAACTCTTCTCTGACTCCAAAAAAAGCGGCAAAGCCCGCAGAGAATTCCAATTATTCAYATGCGTGCCGTCTTTGTGGCATTAACTGTAAAATTTCAGTKGGAAATAAGAACAACCAACGGAGCTTTCAGCCATTTCCTTCGCCAAAACGAAACTTTGATATATTAAACTCTTGCCAAAACCAGTTGGAAGAACCGCCAAAACATCTTTTCCTTCGAGTAAACGAGAAACGGCCTCCTTTTGCTCGCGCTTTAACACCAATCCTCCAAGACAAGAAGCAGACAGACGATCGAAATCAGAACATTCTCCAGAAAATTCTCTTGAAATCGATGCCATTTTGGCCTGAGCCGCGAAGTGATGAATGTCAGTTTCTGTCACTCAAGTTGCCAACGATCTGCTACGCTCTGATGAACTCTATTGTCCCTTCGACCAATCAGGTGTTGCCGTTGCTGGAGCAACTAACGCAGCGAACACCAGACAGAGGGAAACTGTTACAGTCTCCCTATTTTTTCCGCCCCGTCACCCCCACGCTATTAACCCCACCGCCACTACCCACGGGCATTTTGTACTCTCCCCAGTTTCGCTCGCATCAAGAGAGCAAGATGGCCGCCCATCGAACTCAACGATCGACATCTACGATCTCTCGGAAAAATAGGGGACTGTGAACAGTCTACGCCTCAGTCAGCTCTCTGCATTTGCTCGAGAAAATGGAAAGCAAAACTAATCGTTCAAATATATTTTGGGGCTAAAACGTCCAAGTGTTGTTTCAGAATCAGTTCTTTTTCGTCACTGGAGTCAGAGTTGAGTTTCGATTCGGAAGACTCCGAAATAAACCTCGATCGTGCACGTTCGACAACTGTGAACTCACTGCTTATTAGAGCTTTGAGAACAATTTGCAATATTTCAAGCAACGACGGGGAAGATTTCTTTGCGGACGAGCTGCTTGCATATTAGGCATGGAAAGCTAGATACGAAGTGGAGGAGCAGGCAAACGAGAAGCAGGAAAGAAAACTCAAGGACTGCTTTGGGTGGTAATTTCGTTACCTAAACACAAGACTCCCACGCGTGTTTTTACCCGTTTACATTTGTCCTCAGCGAGAATGTATTTTGTCAAGGTACGGTTGTTCTAAATCCAGTTTTTGTTTTACTTTCTGGAATGCTTCATGTTTATAAGAGCGACGTATGTGTTGCAGTTTTCGAGACTTAATTACCTCCAAAACACTGGCTTTGATCGATTGAAAATCGTAGAATTGTTTGGACCTGTATTTTTGAAGTTGCGGGAAGCGAGGTGGAAGGAAACATTTCATACAATTACCGATTTCACATTGTCACACGTTTTAAGTCGTAACTCCAAATAACCAATGTAAATTTTTTCAAAGTTTGCAGTGAAATTCGTCGTATAAGCGAAAAGGATGTGTTCCCTAAGCGGTCCGAAGATAATGTTACGCGGTCATATTTTCGACACTATTGCACAGAATGTTTGTCGCATTGCTGATTTCCAAACCTTCGAAACACTCTGTGAGTCTAACAATTTTGTTATCATGTGATTCTAAAGGATTAATCTTCGACTTTTATCTAAATCGAAAGAGAAATAAGAGTTGGTTGGCGGCGTACAGTTGCGAGCTATTTACATATCAGTATATTTGGTCGTAACGCTCCTTGTCTGATTGATCACACAACTTTGCCGGCTGTGTTATAAATACTGCGGGATTGGAAGATATAGGTTTTCGGTAGTATTTCTACAAATTGCTGGTTGGCTTTAAGCAGAAAATTTTGAAAATAGCGTTTGAAATTCTGCGGAACAAATTCCGACAGTACTTCCAGTGAGAGGTCTTCAATGGTTCTCACAGTCAGTTCGCTTGTTTCGGTTCGACGAAATCAACCGTCGTTTACGTCTTTATTGTACCAGTGACCGATCATCGCCAGTAAATTGCAAAGTATATCTTTCTTTAAATCTGGGATATTGCTACAACAGCCGATAGCACTTCTGGAAGGCGTTTCTGCGCACTTTTCGAATGTGTATTGCACCATCCTTAAGGAAACGAGAGGACGTGAGATATTCAACCTTCCTGGGTAGACGTCACAACAGCCGCTCGACCCGTTCTCCTCAAACTCGGTCGTGAAACAAAATGGCGGTGTTTTGGAGCTATTTCGAGATTTCGTCGGGGTACAGAAAATCAAGGATTTAACCGAATCCAATAATTTTTTCGCAGAATTATTTCAAATTACAAGTAAATTCGTTTTAGCAAAAAATAAAAAAATAAAAAAAATTGGGGGGGGGGGGGTTAGGTGCACTTTAACTATTTATTTATTTATTTGTTTATTCATTTTCTAACGTAATATCCCACTTAAAGAAACCTTAAATGAAAAATACAAAATACATTGTTTATTCACAGCCTCCATACGCTGATATTTCAACCTACGACCATGTAGATCATTATGTACAATTACTGGTTTCTTCATCAGTGTTGATATGGGCTTCTCCAAGAGTGATAAGCAATACAAATTTCTTAAAGCAACGATTTGTCAAATCAGTATGATTTCATGTTAAAAGCAATTTCAAATAATGAATCGCATTTTTTGATTGCAAATATTTTTATTTCTTCACAAATTGCTGAATAGCTACTTTATCTTGCAGTGAAGATGTAGAGGTATCATGTAAGGAACCTTTGGAAGTAATGAAGTAGGCAAACATTTTTTAATGTAAACAAAATACGTCTGAAGATTTATTTACAGTTGACGTAATGATACTGACCATAATTAAATAATGCCCGCGAATTCATTTATGCCGGGAACAACGTCATATAAATTCCATGTTAATTGATCAAATTTTAGCGACCTTTATTTGGTAGCGTCCCGTAAATGTACTCGGTTTTTTGGGCTTTGTTGCTGCTTTTGAAGATTAAATTTCTCTACTAGTAATCGCAAAAACGGTTCAATGTTTACAAAGATATACAAAAGCTACGATAGATAATCATATTTGGAATAAACGTTTCTAAAATTACAATGGTGACGGTCGCTCATAAACAAAATGGAGGAGTGGTCATTTTGGAAGAAGGGTGCGTGAAACTGTAGAATTAGTCACAATTTATTCTATAATAAACTGGTTGCCGGGCACTGCTAATTCAAGTTGCTGAATTGTTTTCAGACCAGGCTTTGCTAGAATCAATCTCCCTTACTTCATGGATGACGTAACAGTTCACTTTGTGTTAGAAGCAGTCGACATGGTAGCCACACATGGCTGGAAATTACTACCACAGGTAAAGATTAAGAATCAGTTTTAACGCTTACTTTGTTCAATCAAGCACAATCAATTCCAGTTCTGAGATAACAAACTCGTGATAGCTTATTTCAATCCCTATAAGGAACATTCACCTTAGTGCCCGATCGAGCAACAAAAATTTTAACTCTGAATATTGAAAAGGCACGACACGATTAACTGTCCCTTTGTATTAAATACAATATTTTTGTGTGACGCGGGTCTAGAAACTCAAATTTTACAAAGAATGTACAGGTGTATTGGCTCGTTACTACTCTTGTCTCCTTCAATACTATATCCAAAGAGCTATAAATTTTCATCAATTTTCTAAATTTCATAAGCTCCTACGTTTGGAGTCAATCCTCCGTGGGAAAAAAGATGGCGACTGGTACATTAATTTACCCATGATTCTAACCCCAGAACAACGCTCATTAAAACGTACAGAAAGGTTCTAACATCTTCAAACCTAACATACACAGTGTCGTTAGTACGGGACAAATACTGCAAAAATATGGCTTTCCTTGTGCCTAACGGGCTGCATTAAATTCTCATGTCTGTGGTAAAATGTACAGCCGCCATCTTTTTTCCCAACGGAGGATTCTATTTTACATGATGCCTTCTCTACGCGTAGTCGTGTGATAATGAGGGAAAATGTAACCTATGACGTCAGCAAAGATTCTGCTGTACCATGTGCTTCTCCACTTTGTTAGTGTTTCAGTCTGAATGAATTGTTCTTCTTTTCGTCCTTAGTACCGGTTTGATCCACACACGGGGGCCTGGGAAAACAGATATTTCACTGAGAAAAAAACGAGTCCTCTCTACAGTCTTCATGACGTCATTTATGACGAAATTGGACTCGTTATAACAAACAGCACGGGAAGACCCCACGATTATGACATCAAACTTGACGTAAGTTGGTAAAACAGCACGTCTCCGACAACAAACTCATATCAGTCCTTTACAATGCATTTCATGCTGGTTATATTTGATTTTTTCTTTCTTGTTATGATTTCAGGAAATCGCCCAGTCTGCAAGTAGAGTCTTGAAAGAGGCGGTTGAGTTAAATAAGGTTTGCTATTGACTCAATGTTATGCTAAGAACAGTTGGAAGTTTTTACTCACTTTAGCTGAGCAACAACTTCTAAATAAAATTAATTAAATTAAGTAAAATTAACCTCTACTTCAGTTTTGTTCTGATCTAATTCGAGTTAAAAGAAATTCCCGTTTGGCGATGAACTTCCTTCTTGGATATTTGCCAGTGTGCTTTTGTTGTCATAAGCTGAGAGAATGTTACTGAGTGAATGTCACTAAATGTCACTTTTTACCATATCATAACTCGGGAACTCCTGAAGCTAACAGAATTATACTTTTCCAAAAGTGTAAACGAAACACCGACGTTTCTTTGACAGCCATGCGTGGACAATCTTTCCAACCAAGGTGGCGAACTTTGGAATTGAAAATGTCAAGGATAAGATGAAGGATAAGAAAGTTAATCCCCATTGTGGGCCTTATTCCCAAGATAATTCATCTCAAGTTATTTTAAGACGAGGTAACCAGTTCAGTTCCTCCGCGAATAATGTTACCACGTGCATTGTGTGG